AAAGTTATTTTATAAAAGCAGAAGCAATAGACCACAGTTTCTATGGGTTTACCGGTGTGATAACCCACTTGGGATGTTGGGAGAACACGAGAAAAGCTTGTAAATCACTCGCCATTTTCTGATTTTTTGGGGAAGACAGTTCGCCATATTTAAAGTTAACAAACGTATCAGAATGTTTGTACTGTAGATGAAAACAGGAGCCCATGAATCTGGAGCGAGCAACTTCCATACTAGGCCTATGTCACGGCGTTTTTACGGACCAGTTTATTTTTTGACACATTTTAAGGCACTTTTTTCAGCGAAAATAGGATCTCCACCATGTCTATGAGCGCATTCGACGAATAAGATATCAAAAAGAAAACTAAACGTTATTAAAAGGCAAAAAAATCACATTTTTAGGTCTGTAGGTTTTGCTGACTGGTTTTTGGAATTTAAAGATATCTGAAAACTCGCGCCAAAACCTAGCCTCCCACGCAGGCGTTTTTAGGGGAGCTCTAAAAACGCCTGCGTGGGAGGCTAGCCAAAACCGTTCTAAAAATAAACTGGTACGTGACAACGCCGTGACACAAGCGCCTGAAAGTTGCTCGCTCCGGGTTATGGGTTCCTGATGAAAAGTAAAGGTGGACCGTGTGCCTTCTAATGATTTTGTATGGGAAAAAATGGGAAACGTAAAATGCCGAAAAAATAAAGAAAGTTAAGTTATTGGGTAAAGTAAACTATCTCATATTCATACACTTAAGAACCAACTCAAGAGCCCTTTTAAAAGCTTCACTAGCGAGATAAATTAGAAACATCATCGATCGTGCAGATCCAAATGGACCCGGGAAATAAAGATTCTAAAACAGCTGTAGAATTTAGTTGTAAATTAACGAAGAAAAGAGAGATTGGTTTACGTTTGAAGGAACTTGTTAAAATTGTCGAAAATATTTTGAAAGGCACTATCAACAATGACATCATTATATATATTTACCTGTCTTACTTTAATAATGACGTAATGTGGATCTTGTGACCGAAGATAAACGCCGGGGAAATGGCGGCATGTTCTTCGTTTGCGGTGGTATTTTTCTCCAGTTTTTTCTCGTTTTCCTTCCATTTGCAGCTCCTGAAAGTGCATCTCCTGGATTCCCTTTGTGATTCCTAACGAACAGTCAAATTGCACAAAAGTTTGGACTTTCATTTCCATTTCCCGTAATTCCCAGTTTGTCTCTCAACGTCTCTGTGCAATGCAATCACAGCCTCCACAATCTGTTTAGTAACCCAACACTTCTGGAGTATTGTAAGTATGTTAAAATAAACGCTTGAACGCGTTCAGTCAATTTCAAGGTTTGAATTGAAAAACAATTGGCCTTTTTTTCTGTTTTATTGCCAAAAGAATGGATTGTTTGCGCGATCTCGCCGCCGGTTATTCATGGTGGCAAGTATAGTTTGTTTAGTATCAAACTTTAATAGCAACTTTGACAACTAGGCGTTAAATCACTTAATCAGTTACCTCGACTGCACTGTTGCTGCTTATCGAGAGATTGTCGGCTGTTTTCTCAATGGGGCTAGCAAAGTTGCAGCGCGCTACACTATCTCGCAGTTAACCTGATCGCAGGTTAATTATAAGTGCGTAACCTGAGCTGATCTGGCCCAGTTTTTGCCGTGTCATACGGTCACGCAGGGCCCAATACAAACTCTCACGAGGCTGTTACGCTGCGGCCAGATTTGGCTGCAATGCTGATTGACTTATGTGGGAATGCTGTAGGATGTGATTGGTTTATGTATATATTACAATTACTAAAGGAGGATATTACCACCGTCCTGTCATGCATTACATACACACGTACACGTATTTTAAAACGTGACTAACACTTACCTATAAAGCTAGTTTACAGGTCAGTCACAAAACTAAAAACAAGCCTGGAAACTATGTAAAAGTGTTTAAAATGATATATTATACAGAAAAAACTGCTTAAAATTATAAAATTGTTAAACTTATATTCTAAGAAAACTAGGTTAAATTGCGAATAACGATCTATAAACTTACAACTATATAAAAGTGTTTATATAGTACATGGAAACTGCAATAAGATTATAGAAACTATGTAATACTTAAAATACTAAGAAAAACTAAGTTAAATTGCGAAAGGGACTATAAACTTTCAAGGTCGAGCTCCTTGAGTCCACGTTTAAAACTGCAATAACTATCAATATTTCTTAAATTATTTGGAATAGTGTTCCATAGTCGGGCAGCCTGGTATCTCCATGACTTGATCCCATACTTTGTTGAATTTGACAGCATTGACGGCCGAATCCCAGTGTGGCTCATTTCAAAGTGTCACCATGGAGGCAACACAAAGGCACAAGAGAGATACCCGAAATAATTTTTTACAAATCCAGCATACTCTGCGTAAACTGTATCGATTGTACAATAGAATTTCACGAAGTAGCTACAGATGCCCTTCTCAGGTGTAACATTTTGTTTTGTATGTAAATAACAGGGATCCATCTCCATTTTTTATCAGAGTTGTCAGCTGGGCAAGTAAGCTTGATGGCATACTTGCCCAGTTACAATTTATTTAGGTTGCCTGGACAAAAGTGCAAAATTATAGAAAGAACGGTGATAAAAAAAATTGTGTGCAACTTGAACATTTCTGATTTGCTCTTTATTTCCATTATAGTTACTAATAAAGGGCTTCAACTTAACTGTAAAGAAAAACAGGCTTAAGGCCCGAGTCTAAACACCATGTAGACACAGTCGTAGATACAGCAAAATTTGCTGTATCTACGACTGTGTCTAAATGGTGTTTAGACTCGGGCCTAATGTGGCATTTAATCTAAACAGTCAAATTTAATTGATTCAAACATCATGCTTCACATGCATTTAACTCTCGCATTAAGTTCGGCACATGTGAAATTCAACTTGTGAAACGGGCCTTACTGTCTTTTTTCTTGCCGTTTTGAAGGAGGAAAATGTCTTCATGTGAATTTTCAGTTAATGTAGGTTTCTATTATACAGGAGGCCATGCACAAAATGTGTTTTAGTGCTATCCTCCGATAAAATCAAGTGTGATAATCTCCCAATGCAGCACCATTGGCAATTGATTATCATCCTTTAATAGCCCTTTTGGCGGAAATGGAAAGCAGGCCTTATTCTCTTAATTCAGTTCTTCCCTACTTAGAAATTTCGGATAATCATATGTTTCTGGGAAACTGCCCACCTACTCCTCCCCTAAGCCAACACCAACACTTAGCTCTCACTTGGGGCAAAATGTTGGCTTAGGGGAGGGGTAGGTTTCCCAGAGACGTATAATGATCCCAAATTTTCTAACTGTCACCAGAGATTATAGGTGATCAAATTTCCTTTCTTATTTAATTATGAGACCATGAAAAAGACAACACTCAAGTGTTTAACATGTTAATAATTAACATGACAATTATTGTCAACAAAAAATAGAATGATATTATATTATTGTATTTTTTTCGTGCAATCATAGATTGAATTTTTTTCCTCATACATCTTGAAAAGATTTTGATCAATGATTGATTTTAATTGATAATCAACAGAATAATGTTAGATTCATTATTTGTTTTCAGACTTGGATGCTACTGGTAAACCTCCAAGTGGAATTCTAGTTGGAAATCTTGCCTGGTTAGGATCGTATGAAGAGTGCACAAAGTATGTTCCTGGTGCACATTACTGCATGGCCTTCTTTGATACACCTATTCAACCACTGACCAAGGTGAGAATGCTTTCACCATTAATTTGATTACCATCCATGTTTGTGATGGAACTTGAGAAATACATTGTAACTTGTGAATGGCAAAACCACAGCTTAGTATCAAACAAATATGTTTCCCATTATTTGTGTAGCATTATATCAAGTCATTTCAAATGTTAAAAATAACAAAAATGAAGTTTGAAGAACTGTTAGGCTGACAGGTTTTCAGTGCAATCAGGGTGCAAAGGAAGTCAGTTTTACAGCTTGCCATTCGGGCAAGCTGTAGCTAGCATGTACTAGCCTGAAAAGCATAAAACTAGCCTGAAAAAGATTTGATGAGCAGGATTGATTACATTTCTTCTGTAATTTGAATTCCCCCAGAAAAAATCACTTACCCATCAGGCAAGTTAATAACAGAATTCACTAGTCTGATAGCAAAATCCACTGGTCCCAGGTTATCGAACACCATTTTCTTTGCATGCTGGCAATCCATTTCAAACTTCTTTAAGTTTGTCAATCCGTGTCTTTATCTGTAAGGAGACAGCGTGGCCAAGCGGTTAGAGCAATGGATTTGTAATCCAGAGGCTCCGAGTTCAAGTCTTGCCCTAACTGCTAGCTGGATTTGTTCTCGGTAGTCCTGAGCTCAAATCTACAGCCATGCTTGTAAATAGCCCAACCTTACTGGTGTGCCTCCTACCAGTTGGGATTTTTAACCTTGTTTTTCCATTTAGATTTATTTGTTTCATTGTCCCTAAAAAGCCCCATAAGGGGAGTGGATAATTAAGTACTTCGAAGGTTTTACTTCCTAAAAGAAGACTGTATAAATTCATACTTTTAGTGGCAGAAGTGTTTTGCAGAATGCTGAATGCAGAATGCAAAGGGCCAAATGACTCTGAAATTTAGTGATTATGGTTAGGAAACAGAGTGAATCAATTTCCATTTAGAGTCATTATACGGAAAAGTTCAGTGGCGGTTTCAGGGGGCCCTTATTTGTAGACCAAACTAAGGGCCGAAGGTCCAAAAAAAGTTTTTGGAGACCAGGCCCCCCTCTCATCTCAGGGTCTGGATGACTGGGCCCTTCCCTTATATGAACGTCTGGATCCGCCACTGAAGTTGACCTTCACTCTGTTTCCTACCCCTAATCACTAAACTTCAGTGTCATTTGCCGTTCTGTATTCTACATTCAGCGTTCTGCATTCTGCAAATAAAATACCCGTACTGAAAATGATGGGTGTAGGCAACTTTTAAGTGCTGGTACTCCTTATTTACTAAGAGTAACTTTTCTCTTTTCTATTTTTCCAGGCATTTCCTTTACAGTGGGGAATATGTGCACCCAAACAATGTGATGAGCACGATTTAACTAACTTGGTGGATAAATTTCTTGCCTGTAAGTTGGCCATTGTTTATATTAAAACATTTATTTTTTCATTTATGCTAACTAGGACTGCAGTGATACGTTTCTTCTGCATTATATGATACAGATCATATACATGGTGTACAAAAGCATGGTGTAGTACTTATTTGATTATAATCAATGATCAACTGGGCAGCGCGCAAAAAAGGTGGTGTCTGATATCCGGAAGCTAAAGCGTATTTTGCTATTGGGCTAGTGAATAATGTCCAGCGCTGGCCACAAGATCCCTACTTTCCTTTTTCATCCTTATACAATGTACCGGTAGTTCTCCACGGTGTGGAAGTGTGAAAGAACCCTATACTTTCCTTGCTCATCCCAAGTTCTACACTTGCACGTGAAGTTTTCCGGGGGAATTCAAATAATTTTATAGAAGTGTAATCAATCCTGCTGGTCAAGATTTTTTTTTTCGGGGGCAGGGGGCAAGTCAAACTGACATTCTGGATAGTACATGCTAACTTCAACTTGCCCCAAAAGCAAGCTGCAAAACTGTCTTTCTTTGCACCCTGAGGGGCCATGTTTTGACCTCTTTATCCATTGGCTGATAAAACAAATAACGAACTCTTGCCAAAACCATTTTTCAAGGTCATACGAAAATTGCTTTATCAGTGGTCCTTTTTTTCTAAGTGAGCTTTGTCAGAATTACCCCACCAGACTAAACTGTCTGTAAATGGAACATGTCTGTTCCAGCTGAACTGCACTATACTCAGCTCTTGTAGAAGGACCAGCCTCACTCTCTTGTGTGAATAATTACAAGAAATTTGCTAACGAACAGTGATTTAGGAGAATAGAGATAATTAAAAAAGAGTGTAAAAAGCTGAGGTTTCGGCATCATCATGATGTCATTGGCAAATTGCCTTCTTGATAGACACCAGCTCATGATTAAACGGAACCTTTTCCCTGCAGCATTTGCCTGAAAATTAGCGGTACGGCTTGTCTGTGGGGAGAAATCTGTGACTGACCACTTTTCAAATTTGCTTTTCTCTAAATTTGTTATTATAAATGTCAGTTGTTAAATGTTTTTGTGGATTTTACTTATGTTTTACTCGTAGTGAAAATCAATGTCAAGGTTAATAGTAGAATGGAGTATTTTAGGTAAAAAATATGTTTCTAGTACCGTGATCAAGTCACATCTTCTCTCTAAAGTCATCATAAGCCAATCATGACTCACGATTTAATAGCGTTGAACTTTCTCAAAACTCAGTTCAGTCAAAAAACAAACAGCAGCACTTCAAACCACGAGTTTTTGCACTCATTACATGATAACTTATGAAAGCTGTTTTACAGGAAAAGTCAACACATATTCATGCGAACGTACAATGAAAGAATATGTTCATGGTTTGTTTACTACAGAAGTAGAAATTAATTGAACATCAGACTGTACGCAGCTGTATTTTGTTGAGTCGATCCGTAAGAATTTCGTTGTTACAGACGGAACTGACAGCTATTGTAATAGAGGACTTCATTCACTTTTTACAAGCCGCAGTGGTTTAATATCTGTTTTCTGGACTTTATTATGATCAAGAAATGCTGCGGTAATGACGTGGCTGCATTTGCGAAGTTGTCGCATGTAACTTTATATGCATGTACAGCGACTGATGGAAGTATGTCAGTGGTGGAGAAAGGTTTCTTTGCCGTAGCCACATATTGGCGTTAATATTTGTTGATTCGTGAAGTGAGGTGGTTTGAGGTAGGTTATGGCATTGATATCACTGAATAATTCGTGCAAATGTTGGAAAAAACCAGCCCGAAACTCTGACATCTTTCATCAACGTTGGCAGCTTGTTTACAACCTACAGCGGCCGATTTTGTACCCATATCTTGATCAGAGATCTCTTTTTGGAACAAGTATAGGCACAGTACTAGATAAGGAATTTAAGTTTGAGATAAAATAAATCAAGAATGCTAAAACTATCCGTTTTGTTGCTGGTTGGCTTATGGTTAAGTTTTCCTAGAGACTTTCTACACCAGAAATTCACACAGTTGTTGTCTTTCTCTGCGATTTGGCATCGTCGTGAAATGTAAACTGTTTTCCAACTTTGTACTTTATAACTTCTAAAGCTATATGGCAGTAGCGAATTGTGACGCTCAGTAATAAAATGTGGAAACCAACGCTTTTAATATTAAGAAGGGCTGGGTAAGTAAGTTGTTCTGTTTTTTAGCCTTTCTAAAATCGTTATTTCCAGAACAATAGCCGGTTTTGTTTATGGTTCGTGGTCCGGATGCCTTTTTCTATGGGTTTACCGGTATAATAAACCATAGGTTTTTGACCAATCAGATCATGCGTACTATCTCAGTTATTTTATAATTAGTGATAGCACTCAAAAGTATAACAATATAACATAGTTGACAGCGTGATCAGAGTACGAAAATTATATGCTCTCTCTTTTCCTTTTTAGTTCTTAAATTAGTTAACATAACGATTGAATTGAGTCCACGAGTTGCTGAAGCAGGAAGCAAAGAGGCTAAACCTATTTACTGCAAGAAAGAACCAGAATACACAACTGGGGTAATAATTACTCTGTAAGTACATAGCTATATGAATCTTTGAAATAAAAATTGCGCAGAATTTATAGTATTATGTTACAAAGTGAAAGAAAGCTGGGTTATTTACTTGGAACAAATGCCACTAAATCGTAGTCAACAGTTACCAGCACCGTACAAATGACTTATGGACAGATCAGAATCAAGCAAAACTAACTACGAAAGAATGACTGGACGACCCAGGGGGGGCACTTGGGTATTTCTTGGGTGGTATGTGCCACCCGGGAGTCCAAATTGGCACTCCGTTCTAAAAAAAATTTCCCCTAAAATTGATACCCTGTTCTAGAATTCGCCCTAAAACTGATACCCCGTTCTAGAAATGGGCCAATTTTTTATACTCCGTTCTAAGGTGCAAAGAGTACAACAGTTTGCTTGTTAACGAATTGAACTGTATTTTTAAAAGCAATCTGTCCTTGAATAATTTCAAATGGCTGCTTACAAAACTGGAGCTTTCGTGCGTTCGAAATATTATACCCCTCTGAAATGGATACCCTGTTCTAAATCAGGAGCTTCAAAATCACGACCCTGTTGGGCGGCACATACCCGTATAGGTAATGTATGGGAGTACCCCACCCCCGGGCTGGACGACTGACAATATTTATTTGGCTAACAATAAACAATTGTTTGACTGCGACAAGACATGGATCAAAACGCACCAATGACATTACAAGTCCCGATAACCAATAACATCATGGCTTAACTGACAGAGGACCAATAACATCGCATTTTAATTGAGCAGTCAGGTCAAATAACCAGAATTTAATACCATCAGCTAATGTGATACAACTCACTTTGACTCTGAAGATGACTACCGCACAGGTTGTCAAAATGTCAGTCACTGTCAACAACAAAAGTCCTATTCAGGACTCAATCACCCAGACAATCATACTCAACCTACTTATGATGGTATTATTTATACAGAACTGGCTCATGTTCTTAAACTTCAACTTGTTTAATCAGAACATAGTGAATTTACATGTGGCCATGACAGTAAACTGTGACAAAAGCAAGCCCAAGCTGTGCAAATACTAAAATTTGATTGGACATTAACACAGTGCAATATCATCACATTATACATAAGAATAATAATTATTATTTATGTGCAATTTAGGCCCAAGCTAACCTAGCTCAAGTATTCTGTCATAAATTTGCAATATTGTTCTGCTATGTGATCAAAGTAATGCAAATTGTTGCTGCAAATATCAATATGTTTTTGTTTTTACAATTTGTATCATGTATTGGTGTGCTGATGATCAATTATAATCAACCATCAATGGAAAACTTTAAGCTGCACGATAATAAATTTGTAGAAAATGTTCAATAGATTATTGTGGGGAAAAAGAATGTCACGTTGGCAAATATGGGTATTATAAATACTTGTTTGTTGTCTTTTTATCATCTATTATTATTATTCAAGGAGAAAGAGAATTTAATCACCTCAAAGCACCAAAAAATTTTGAGGTCCAGCTGAGAATCAGACTCACAGCCCTGTGAGTCCTAGATCAGATGCGCCAACCACTGAGTTACTGAAACTCTGTGATATTTGAGCATAAAATAAAAGTTGATGTTGGCAAGCACTAACTTGTGAGCCTGCAGATCACTGCGGTTTACCCCACATGGTCTTTCCTTATCTAGCACTGGGAGTGTGCCTATGCTAAATTCCCTCTCAGTCAGCTCTTTCTTCTATCACTGCAAGTTCAAGCAGCAAAGTTGACCCTTCCAACCTCCTGTTATTATAGGCTTCCTGTAGTTGCTTGTCTTTTATTTTACTTTCTGCTTATTATTTGTTTTTTGTTTTTTCTTTGTGTTCAATGAATAAATTTACGGTGGGGAATTGCTGCCTGCGGCACCCCATCAGCCTTGTGCTGAAGCCCCATCATGGAACTTGGCCAAGGACATTATCCCAGCCACACGGATGTGTGAACCATGCTTCCCTTGCAGTACAGGCATGAGGCACCCTCTCGGCATGGCACCATATGCTGAGACCCCTCATCTGGTGGGTTATCTGGTCGGTGGGTTCTAACCGAGCCTTGCTGGCTTTTCCCTGCCCAATTTCGTCTACCAAAGCCTTGTGTGTTGTGTTATTTCTTAGTCTTGTCGCTGCACCTTAACATTAATGCCCCTTATGTGAAACATATTGAATGTTTGAGATGATTACAGTGCTGTATGTGGCCATAAATCATTGCATCTTTGAAATGGTCTTGAAAGGTTTGGTGTCAAAGTGTGGGTTTGGTAATGAAATGTTTTGTTGAATAATTTGTTGTCTTTTCTTGTTGTATTTAGAACCTTGTGTGGAATAATCTTGTCTCTCTGCCTTGTTGGAACAGTCCTTGATGTACTCATTAGCTTTTTTAAACCACGCCCATCAACAGTGAACAAAAGTGATGGATTCATGCCAATCAGAAATGTTTCCATAGCTACTGATAATGATCAGGCTCCTCCTCATGTTCCAGTCTTTGGAAAACATGATGGTATAAGTGACAACTCACAAATGATTCATTCCATCCCTGAGGGGACAGTTAGTTACAGTTCTTCATTAACCAGCTTTCCTGAACAGCCAAAGGAACCAAGTAAGTTTTGAATGTTATCAGATAACTTTTTTAAACTGATTCTTGCCGGCTTCAGTTGGTACTCTTATTTATTTTACAACCTGTTAAGCCAAGACGGTTAAACATAGCACCATGAAGCCATAATTGGCTTTTACTTGGCGGGTATTGGGGGGTGGGGTTGTTGGCTAAATGGCTAATTCCAAGGGAGTGACTGGGAGAAAGGCTTGTACAATGATTAGGGCAGCTTTCTGTCTTGCCCTTTTCACCTATCTCTGCTGCAGTAAGGTCACATACTGTGGGATCAATTTCCTGTGTATCTTTTGAACCAGATTTCAGGCTTGCCTGCAGCAGATGTCAATTTTCCTTATTAGGTTATCTAAGAAAGTGAACATTATCGTCACAGTAGAATGAACAACCAAAGTGTGAAAAAAAAAAGAAATAACCTGAAAAAAATTCAGGCTTGACTGGGAATCAAACCCTGACCTTTCCATTGGCTGGACACAATGTTCTATCCATTGAGCTAATCAAGCTAGCTGGAGAGCAAACCGTTGTGACAGGGTTGCCACAGTCAGGGAAAAGTCAGGGAAAACGAAAATTTTTCAAGGTAAGGGAAAAGTCAGGGAAAGTCTTTGATATTATCAAACTCAGTGAAAAGTCAGGGAATTCTGTTTTCTGGTTTATAGTTCATAAGTGGTCTTCAAGATTTTGAAATGCATTTTCTTTTGGAAAAGAAGAAAAGTATGTTGCAAAGCAAGCAAAGCGATCAATTTGGCACTCTACATCTGACACATGTAGTAGTTGTGGTCAGTGGTTTTCGTTGTAAATGCTTTATTCCAAATTCCTTCTTCCTCTTTCCATGAAAACTGGAAATAGGATGAAATCAAGAGAAACTATCGATGGCCTGCAAAAAAAGCTAAAGTGAATGTAAACGTCGATTGTTTCCCATTAATAAAAGGTCAGTGAAAACTGTTTAAAGGTCAGTGAAAAGTAAGGGAATTTTTAACTTTCTGATGAGTGGCAACCCTGTTGTGAGTTCGTAATATACCTGATGGTGGAATTGACATAAATTGATGAAATAAATCATATTTTGAACTGCAGAAAGACATCATGTTCACTTTCATATCTGCACTGAATATTTTTGTTGATTGTGAAAGGCAATTTATTTGTTTAATTGTTTTTTTTATACACAGATGTGGTGGCAAAATTCCTTTTGTGTTTTTCTCTTATCCAAAACACAAACCGTATTTTGAGTACTAACATTCCTCCAGGCGCGATAACATCAATCAATGGCATGAGAGTATTGAGTATGTGGTGGGTTATACTTGGACACTGTTATGCTTTTCAGACCACCGCTGGTCTTCCAAGTAAGTTATTTCAGATTTTTATCACTGATAAACTCCCAAAAATTTACTTTAGAAGAAGAAATAATTATAGTAGGCAGCAACTGTTTCAGTATTTTAAAGGCGAAAAGGACCTTTTGTGCAACCCTGGGTCTGAGGAGTGTCAGTGTAGGTATGAGAGGGGGGTTGTTTTCCTCTCATTGGGTGGTCAGGCCACTACTTTTCCAGCTTTAGGATGGTGTAGTTCTCTCCTCAGTTCCTTAGACATTGCATCTTTGGTTGCTCACCAGAGACATTCTGAGCCCATTACTTTAATGGAGTTTTGCCAGTGATTCACACAACTGTGTTCTAAGTCATTTTCACACTGTTCACCGTGAACAGTCTCACGGAAGTATATATGGTAGACTAGAGAAACGTTAAGCAAATAACCCACTAAGTAAGGGACCCTTAAAGTCCAATGATGTCTGGAACCACAACCTAAGTTAGTCCTCCTTTGACCCATTTGCCCCTGGAGTTTTTGCCCAAAAACGCTTTTTGAAGCTAGTCAAGCAGTTTTCTGGTCACTGTTGTGCTAGAAAGAGCTAAAACTTACCATAAAGCCATTTATAGGTCGTACACTTAGCGGCCTTCTGATCCAGATGCAAAATATATTTAATCCGTTTACTGCCAAACGCTTACCCCTTAACTGTGAGCATGACTGGTTGGGGATACCAGGAACAGAAACTAGAAACGACTTGCATTTAGTGTGTCTCTTCTTGAGTGATGTGTCTTTGTATGTTTTGTAGGTAACCTTTTGACATTTTTTGGCATAATTAATCGCTTTACATTTCAAGCTATCCAAAATGCAACCTTTTCAGTTGACAGTTTCTTTTTCTTGAGGTACGTTATAATATTATTGCATAAACCTTTAAACATTCTAAATTATAATAAATGATGATAAATACTTGATTATCCCCTCACCTTATGAGGCTTTTCAGGGATAATGATACAGATGATTTGAATGGAAAATAACATTGACGGCAATTAAAAACATAGACTGTAAGAGGCAAACTAGTTGGCTTTTTACAAGCCTGACCGAGGATTTGAACTACTGAGAACAGATCCAGCTAGCTATAGTGGTCATTGCAGGACCTCTGGATTACAAGTCCAGTGCTGTAACCTGTGGGCCACACAGCCTCCACAAAAACATACCACTGGGGAGATTTGGATGTTCCTTTACATGGTTAAGGTCTCCAAAAGCTGTTTCTGTTTGTATGATGGCAATAAAACAGATTTGTTTAATTCTAAACATTAATTTTTACATTAATACATATAAGAGTTCTTTGTAGAAAAACTGGGAAGTTAAAGCATTTATCAAACATGATCAGACAGCATAGGTTGAGTTGGAATTTGGAAGTGTTTTGGAAAGAGAGGGGGGAAACACCTGTCAAAGCAAAGGAGCGAACCATCAATAAACTCATAAACTCAAACCACTTATGGAGTCGAGGCCAGGATTCGAACCAGTCCACATTGGTGGGAGGTAAATGTTGTCACCACTGTAACACCCTTGCTTCTATAAGTCCCCCAGTGATAGCTTTCACGAAACAGTACAGTCCCATAAGCAATTTGACACAACAATGACCCTGTCACATGTTCAACCTCTAAATTGCCCATAGAGGGTCGAGAAAAATGTCTAATAAGGAGTGGATCATTACGGTTCTGGGAAACTGCCCATCTACCCCTCCCCTAAGCCATCATTTTGCCCTAAGTGAGAAGTAAGTGTTAATGTTGGCTTAAGGGAGGGTGTAGGTGGGCAGATTCCCAGAAATCAATAATGATTTAGAACGCATCATTAGGGGCCAGGGTGCATTTGGTTGATTATAGTCCGGAATAAGAAGACACAGAAATTTGTGGCAAATCTCTTCAACTGCAAATGTTTCAACCATTAGACTGGGACATTTATCTTATTACAGTGGAACCCGCTATAACAAAGTGCCACAGTACCGAAAAAAATTGTTCATTATGGCGGGGTCTTCATTATAACGAAGAAAGAAAGACCCGGTTATTAAACGAATTATCTGGCTAACAGCAAAAATATTCATTACAGGGGGGTAATTTAATTATTAGCAATTACCAAAAATTCAATCCTGCACTTAGAAAACATTATTTTTATTCATTTGATACTGTAAAATGTAAGTGTAAAGTGCTGACAATCAAGACATCAAATTCAAAAACACTTTCAATATTAAAGCAAGTTAATTGTGATTTCTACTCAAATCTGTCATTTTTACTGACTGCTGCGAGCGACTGGACAAAGTATATGTTACAGCAGGGTAAATTGTGTGTTGCGACCATCAAAATCTATTCATTATAGCAGGGTTTTACTCTAATTCTGCTGGACTTTCAGATGTTTTTCATTACAACGGGGTCTTCTTTATAGCGGATTCCACTGTATTAATGTCTACCAAATATCTAAATTTTAGCGTGCAGTGAAAAGCAAAACACGTACTTCTTCTTCTGGAATACAGTCAATTGAAAGCATCCAAAGTTTCTTTTCTGGGGAGGCATCTGTTAAGGTGGCTCCCTAGAGTAAATTGGCCGTGCACAGCCTGAGCACTAGTATGGCGCGAGCTTTAAAATCCGTGCAAGGTCCACGCAAAAATTAAAACAAACATGACCTCTCAGTTTCAAAATATTCCCCCAAAAAGCTTTATTTACTTTCTGTTGAAGCTCATTACGCAAAACATTTGATTAGTGTAGGTCAAACATTTATGAGAGGAGACAATGTTACACCGGTTACAAATCACTATCGATCTCCATAAGAGTAAATTGTATGTAAAAACAAAGCAGAAATTTTCCAAAGACATCAATTCTTTCCCTTCAAAAGTAGACAAACGTTTAACAGTCAAAGTAAATGGTGAGTGGAAACTTTACTAAGAAAACAAAGAAATAAGTACACAGGGTGCAAAGAAAGTCAGTTTTAGAGTCTATCGTTTGGGCAAGCTGTAGCTAGCATGTACTAGCCCACAAGTCATTTCAACTAGCCCCAAAGCCCCTTTTGATTAGCAGGATTGATTACAATCCCTCTGTAATTTGAATTTCCTCCCCCAAAAAACACTTGCCCGTCGGGCAAGTTAAGAACTTAACTCTCTACGAATGTAAATAGATAAAACTACAACAATCAAGTCTGGGGTAAACAGGGAAGGGCTCCGAAGTGAACCCTTCCATTTAATAACATTTGCCCAACTGAGACGGTAAAGATACAGCAAATGTACAAAACAGGAATACATGGAAAAACGTGACAACAACAACAACAAAAAAGAAAACTAAAAAGGGGGGGAAGGGAGGGCAGCGAAGTAACGATCTGTTAAAGCACATGGCGAAAGAACTGCGTAGAGCGCATGACAAAGAAATAAACTACACCGGTGCCAGTCCTCCCCCTCCCCTTCGGCTAGAGTTAAATACAAATAAATGCAATTATTTTAGACTTAACTCTCTACGAATGTAAATAGATAAAACTACAACAATCAAGTCTGGGGTAAACAGGGAAGGGCTCCGAAGTGAACCCTTCCATTTAATAACATTTGCCCAAGGGAGGCACGACCTAACCCCAGACAAAAGTCTCCATGAGGGAAAAAAAGAAATTCTAAACAAACGAAGCGAGACGCTTAACTGCTAGCATTCTGTCTTGAACTGGGATGTGGATATAAGACCTATAAGCATCTGACTGCCAGTCTCCTAAATGCTTAATCAGTTCTGCAGGGATTTGAGCTTGAAAAGCCAGAGTGGCCCCGCCCGAGCGAAAACTATGTCCACTAACTTGAGACGGGTCCAAGTTCGTCTTGGTTGCTACTAGTTTTAGAAGGCAGTCAAACTTTCCATAAGTCAGAGGAGTCAGGCCCCCCTCCGTGGATGCTGGGATGATAAAGGCTGGGCCCGATAGAGGTGCTGGTACCAAGCCAAAGGCATGTCTGAGAGCGGAATAAGGGCAGAGTGGATGTGGAGCAATGCGAGGTAACGGAACAGTTAAAATGCGCTGACTAAATTGGATGGTCTTCGACCATCGATTGATAATGATGGCCCAGTCATTGAAGAAGAGGATATCTCCTCGACGCAGGTGTTTGGATGGGTCAAACTTTGTTGATCCTTTGCATAGCAAATTCGCCTTACGAAGGAGGCCAAAGAACGCTACGAGGCAAACTGCCCAGAAGGTTGCATGTAAAGGGCTGTCCAAATGCAAATGACTCTTGAAGGCTCATAGGATCTGGGGTGTAATCGGCTTCTTTTGGGACACTGTTAAACCTTTTACACGCTTGATTCCTCGAAGTGTAGATGCCAATTGAAAATTGTTTTTGGTTGGGTCAGACAGACCATGTTCAAGGTGTAGAATGCGAATCGCATTTAAATAGGCTGGGATGGAGGATGCTGAGAGTGACCTTGCTAGAAAAGCTGCATAGCGATTAAGGGTTAATGCTGCTGCTGGGAGAGGTTGGTAGCCATAGTATACACAAAAGGAGAGGTATGAACGCATTTGACTCATGTAGGTGGACTTGGTAGTAGGTGCATATGATTGACGCCGGAAATTGGTGACTTCACGGTCAAGTTGCTGCTGATCTCTTGGATCTAAGGAGAGCAAGAGACAATGGCGACATGTGAGATTCGAAGTCATTTGATCTAGAGGATTTGGAGAGCCATGCTTGGAACGTTGGCCAGTAGTGCACATCATTAAGGCGTGAAATACTATCTGCTAGAGTGTTGGTTGCTCCTGGAATGTGCTTGACGAACAAACTGAAGTTGTAATACTCCTTAAGCCAAAACAGAGAACGAATCCATTCCATGATCACCGGGCAACAGGTTGAGCCTTTGTTCAGAATGGCTGCAGCCACCTGACTGTCTGTTTTGACGACTACTCGATGACCTGACCAGAAAGGTGCCCAACGGTGTGCAGCTAAAACAATGGTAAATGTCTCCTTGTAATTGATATGGAGAGAGCATAGAGATGGGTAGTCCAAGGCCCAGTTGACGTACATCCAGTCTGGTGCCCATAGGCACCCCCCGCCAGACAGGGAGGCGTTGGTAAGCACTGCTGTAGGAAGTTCAGGGATGGCTGAGGGGAACAAAGTTTTACAGTTGTGTGCAGGCAGGAGGCGGGTCCACCACATGAGGTCAGCTCTCGCGTTTAGGTTAAGATAGACGCGATGGTGCGGGCGTTTAGCCGAGTTTGCCAAGGTGATAAGCCGTCTGAGAAATGTGCGGCCCCCTCGAACAACACGTGCTGCCCAATTAAGCTTGCCAAGGAGTCGTTGGAGGTGAAGCTTGGTACATTTGCTTTTATAGCTTGTTTCCTTGAGAAGGGATAACAACTCTGACACACGATCGTCTGAGAGGCGGAGTTCACACCGAACAGTGTCGATTTCAACTCCAAGAAAAATCAGGCACTGGGTAGGGTAGACAACTTTGCTCCAGTTGATAGTGAAGCCAAGAGACTCTAGCAAGTTTAACAGGGTGTCAAAAGCTACTTTGCACTGAAGTGGGGTTGGTTCGATGATAAGGAAGTCATCAAGATATGCCAGCACAGTATACCCTCTCCGGGCCATCATACGACAGATCCCTTGTGTGAGGCGGTGAAAAACCATTGGTGAGGCCCTGGCTCCAAATGGGAGACGCTTATCATAGAGGTAGGTGGGGTGTTTTGAGTCGTTGAAGCGCCACGACATTCCTGTAACTCGCCAGCTATCAGGGTGTGTTCCAACGCTTCTGTAGGCATGTTTTAAGTCAACTTTTGCCAACCAACAACCAGGTTGACAGAGATTTGCTGCATCATCAACGGTAACATACTTGTAGTGTTCTAAATCCATATATGAGTTAGCATTCATCGTTAAGGGTCGGCTACAATCCATGATCATTCGTAATTCATCGGAGTCCTTCTTTGGTACGGCTCCAAGGGCATTAATGATAATTGGCATGTTGGTCTTGTCTGCGATAGCAAAGTGGTCTTCTCAGAGACCTTTGATTAATTGCGCTTCAATTTGATCTTTAGCTCCAGGTCGCAGAGCAGACTTATTGTTTTGTGTAAAAGCATGTGAAACCATTAAATCAGGCGAGAGGAGCTGAAATCCATTTTTAACACCATCCAAGATAAATTCCAAGTCCGGGTCATTGGTTAGCTCTGTTGCCCAGGTCTCAAAAACTAAGTCTGTGGAGACCTGGGCTGCTTGGGGCTGCTGCTTAAATTCTGAAAAGGGCCCTGCATGAATGGGTAAACTTTCCCCACACTCTGCGGGAAGTGGTGTCCTTAAGACGGGATTAGTCCCTGCGTTTAACAATGTGGTCGAGACATCTCCTGCTAGTTCTGTAGTCAAAATACTATTTGGAGGGAGCTCTGCAGTTGAGTGTGGGTTCAGTATTGGGGGTCTTGAGCAGTAGCAGACTGGTGCTGCCATTGTGGGTGGGTTCCCAAGCACTGAGGTTTGATGCAAACATGATCATATTTACATGAAGAGGCAAAGCGGCACCCTTCACGCCGTTGGTAATCATAGCAAACTTGCTTTCCCGTTGCTGGGTTTAGGACTGGGCGGGACGTTTTGCGAGGAGATAGCCGCGGCGGTGTGGGAGTTGGATCTGGTCTGTGGAGTGTTTGGTGGGAGATGAACTGGCTGTCAGTACCCCATTTACAGTTTGTCGAAAACTGCATTCTGCGGTACAAATCATCATATTGCATCACTTTCGGTAAGGGGTAACACTTGGCTAGCTCAGATATCTTTGAACTGTACATAATGTAATGAAGGATGTCTTGGGTGGACGATAGAGACCCATCTGACATGAGAGTATGCATAATACGAAAGTTAGCCGCTGACCATTGGGGGAATGAGATTTTGTCAAGATGCAGTTTCTTGTCTTGAGCGGTCGTGGCCATCTTGGGCGCACTTGGTTGCTTGGACTCTCGCGAGTTTGGTGCGTGTAAGATCCAGTTCAAACTGTAAATTGCGGTTTCGAAGATCTTCGATCGCTGTTTCGTTTACAGTGGGTTGTTCTGCTTTAAAACTGGTTGGAGTATAAGGTCTTTTATCAAAGACTCAACCTGACTCAGTTCGCGTTTGACTGCTTCGCTCATCTGTTGAGGTGTTGCCGATTCTGCCGCCAGGTCATCCGTGACGAAATCTTGTAGTTTTTTCGGAGGTTTTGTGCTCCTGCTGCTCTTTCTAGTCGCCATAGTGTAAACATCGACAACAATGCACCATAAGAAAACGATTCAGGAAGAATAAACGTGAGTTCAGCGAAGTAACGATCTGTTAAAGCACATGGCGAAAGAACTGCGTAGAGCGCATGACAAAGAAATAAACTAGTGCCAGTCCTCCCCCCCCCTTCGGCTAGAGTTAAATACAAATAAATGAAATTATTTTAGACAAAAATCACTAGCCCAATGGCAAAATCCACTAGCCCCAGGCTATCGGACACTACTTTCTTTGCATGCTGGTACACTACTAACCCAAAAGGAAGCAATGTTGCTGTTTCTGGCCTTTGGTTCATGTTCAGTGGAAAGATCTGAAAGATCGAGCCAATTCCCGAACAAACACTGAAGATTGTCTTCACTGGCGGAGCTCCTCGGTCACTTTATTTCTCTTACATTTGATTTGATTTAAGTAATTCTAGAAGTGGCTTTAAGACAAGATTACAGGGAGTGTAATTTTTTTTGTTTTGCTGACTCTATCACATTGTTTAAAAAACTTATCAGAAAAAAGGTTTCCCACTTAACTTGCATCCTAATCGAAAGAACCTTTCCATCGACGAACCAACATCCTTGTATTTTTTCTTGTTTCAAACATCCTTCAACACACATGCAAGATGCACTAGAACATGTTTTTGCACAACGAGAAATAATTTTTACTCACAGATTGACCCTTGACGAAAGCAATAGTTGTCTGTTGAGACCTATGGTCTTGTACATGTAGCTGAGGACATGATGTACGCTTATAGATCGGAGCCATCTTTTACAGCAGACTTTTAAAGAAAAACTTTGCCATCGAAATTATCCCTCAAGAAGGACAAGGTTGAAAAAGTATCCGGAAGTGGGCTGACATTAAATTTTGAAGATCTGCAAACAGTGTACAGCAGATTAGGAAATGAAGGGCTTATTGTGATCCTTGCACAACCACCGTCTGCATCTCCGACAATTGCCATGCTCACGAGTGACCACCATGGTTCGAATTTTAGCTACGATAGTCAATTACTTTGAAGAAAACATTCCGTGTTAGATATAACATTGAATCCGCTATCTCTCCTTTTTCAACTGGTGAGATATAGACGTAATAATACTAATAAACAGCTTCAAAACAATGGCTTTTCGTACTTTTCAAAGAAACCACATGTTTCCAGTAGCTTTGTGCATTATGCGCCTGTGGGCGTGATGGTTCGCGTACATATTTTGCTCATACGACCCCAAACCATGCGTGTTTTTGAGATTTTTGTGATGTCAACGTAGTTAATTAACCATGAATTTCTCGTGTTTCCTTCGGTAAATTTTTTTAAAAATCGCCTCATTTCTTGTCAGTTGCAGTACCTTTGTACTGTTCTTTTCTTCTTAAAATGTGTAAGAGCTAAATTCCTCCATTAAGAAAAATTACAAATTTCAAAATATTGGCAAAACCATCCGAACGACCCCATGATTTTTCCACTTTAAAATGTTAAGCAATATTGTTAATATAAAGTGGCAAAGTTTAAAGACATTTCACCGTGGGAAATAAGGAATATTAAGAAAAAATGATCAAAAATGACAAAATTACTGCCTCTAAGGATGCGATGTTGCCATGGCAATGGCCTTAATCCAGAAAATGAAACTTGATAAAGAAGCCTTCTTATATGGGTAACCTTAGCGGTGGATCTCGTGAACAAAATCGCAAAGACAAAGTAACTAGATTTCGTTCTGTAACGTATGCTAGATAGCTAGGATTATTAGTAAATACTCTAGGAGCCACCTTAAGAGATAGCCAATTGAAGACTTACCATGATTCTACTTCTATTGTACTCAACAGTGGCTTCTTAGTTGCATTTTTGTCTCTTCGGCACATGGAGAAAAATAATGGGCAGCTTCCACTCTTCAATTACTATTTTCATCGATTTTGGAGGTGAGTGAACAGTAGACATACTCTCCTTTTTTGTTCAGGTAAAATTTGCGCATCCAGCAACATGTGTACATTCAAAAGTAATGTTGGTGTGCTTTGCTCAAAAAATTGGAGAATTCTTGAGAAATTGCCCCTGTCAGTGGTGGTGGAGCGAAATAAAAAGTGGGGGCGCTGAAAATAAAATTGGACCGTCCATTTTTTTCCACCCCCCTCCTCCCCCCAAAATAAGCAATAAAAGGCGGCCTCTGTCTTTTTTTTAAGACGCCAACAACATTTTGGAGCCCTTGGATGCAATTGTCAATGGTGCCCACAATAAAAACTATATAGGAGAGCCTTACTTAGGGGGGTGGGGAGGGGGGTGCAGATAAACAAAAAAGAAATGTCCCAATCCAACTGGCTATGTATGTTGTTTCTTGTTTTGAACAGACGAGTTGACTTTTACTTGAACTTTCCAAAATAGTTTTTTAAGTCCTTATGAGTTATTTATTATTCTGACTTTGGGTTGCTGGTGTCTGCAAGGTTAGTGGAGCAGCGCAATGCTCGAGCATGAGGGTAGGAACCCTGGGAGCAGCCCCCACAAGGCACCATCACACTCAACCACTTGGTAGAATACTTAACCACTAATACTTACCTATAACCACCAATACTTACCTATAACCCATTATTTAAAGAAGGTGGGGTTGGGAGAAACACAACACTAAAACCGCATGCAAGTAACAATGCTATAAGCAACTGTGTAAAACAAGACACCATATAATTGTAGTGGGGAAAACTGCTAACCAGCTTTGGTTCGAGGTTAAATTACTTTTAGTCATTAAAACATGAAGTTAGTGATGCTAGTTATAACAATATTAAAATTTAGTTAATATTTTGAATAGAGTCATGTCTTAAGTATGGGGGATATGATTGTCCACCGGGGTGAGTGTAGCCTGCCCTACCAAAACAGGGTTTCTTGGTTGCAGTCCCTGCTGTGCTTTTCACATCATTTACCAGATGTTGCAAAAGTCTTCCAAATTTTGTCTGAACAAGCTCAGGTTATGAAGAATCAGCCATGTGATTTTAGCCAATCAGAAACAGGGAAATATTTTGAATGAATTGATAATGATGATGATGATCTTAACAAATATAAATAAGTACGAGTGAGTAGTAGCTCTTGGTCAATGTTCCTAACAATTATTACTTGTATTACTGATACTCCACAGATTGACTCCAACATACATGTTTGTTTTGCTGTTTTGGGACAAACTGACAGTATTTCTTGGTGAAGGCCCTTATTGGCTCAATTATCAGTCAGATGAAGCTTGTGACAAATACTGGTGGTCCAATCTGCTCTACATCAACAACTTTTATCCTACACAATTTGGTGCTTCGGTGAGTTTTTGACATTATTGTTTTATTGTTTTTTTGGACAAATATTTTTTTGTTAGGTCAGTATTTCACAACAGAAAACTTGTGTATTTCGTTTATTACCAGCAGCATAAAATGTAAATATGAAATTAACTGTCATGTTAACATCATAGATGAGAGGATAACATTGCATGTCCTCTTTACATACTTTTATATTAACAGTTAGCTCGGACGTCAGGATACAGTGGTTCAACTGTCTGTAGCTAGTGGTGGAGTTATAATGGCAGAAGAGGTTGACCACACCACCCGAAGCAACTTCCCCTATTCTTTTTAAACTGTAGTGTAGGTGGTCCATACCTCTTGTCTCTTGTACCTTGCATTCTCAGCTACCCCCCTCTTCTCTTGGCATCCACCCTTTAGCCTTTAGTTTCCCCTATCTCTCCTGCTTCACTGTAGAACTCCCATCTTCTGCCCTTTCCTCTCCTGTGCCCCATACCCCTCCTGTCCCTATTCTCCCAGTCCCTCACCCCCCCCCCCCCTTGTCCCACTAGTGTGGGTTCTGTATCAATTCCTTAAAATTAGCTAATAAAAGAACGATGCAGGAGAAAATGCCAATCGCTTTATGTCCAATGACGTGATTATCTGAACTAGACAATGTCTTTATCAACCACTTTTTTAAAGACCCTTGTTTATGGTGAAGCTGGGTTTTGAATCTAGCCTCCTGCTCAAAAGTCTGGCGCTTATCCAATTCAGCTAAACTGGGTGGCAGTATCATTTGCAACCTAATATCAATGTGCTTTTCTCCACACTAGCTTTTGTGTATTCCTTGCTTTGCGGATGAGGTGGTTGTTTTTAATAGTCAAACCCCCTATGGTTACTAATATTATTAAGAACATTTTGTTTATTATCTCCACCTTTGTGTCTCATAAAGCAATTTGGTTATAAGCAAGAATTCTTTTTTTCTGTGGCATTTCAAATGATTTTGATTTCTCTTTTCAGTGTATGGTATGGGCTTGGTACCTCGCTAATGACATGCAGTTCTACATAATTGCTCCCGCCATCCTTTTTATGGCATACAGGTAACGTGTGTGACCGGCTACATATAAATCATAGTTCACATTTCTATAGTTAGTGCAGTTAAGCCTCCATTAAACAGCTACCTATTAACTGGCCACCCTCTATTAAGCGAAGTCCGAAAATAATTGTACAATAGAATTGTAAGTTAAATCTCTATGAAGTGATTTTGGCCGTTCCAATGAGAGTTTTCCTGTCATTTTGTCCTCTGTTAAGTGGCCAGGTGATAAGTGATTGTGAACCTGTAATAACATTAGCCTGCGTAGCAGGCGCTTGGAAGTAGCGGGGCACAAGAGAAAATGGGGGAGCGCGAGGGAGACACGTATCTCCTTCTCACGCGCCTGCTACACAGGCTATAATAACATTACAGTTACAGACATTGCCACCTTAGTCTATGTACTGTAGCGTTGCTGTTGCAAAGTATGAACCTGGGGGTTAGTTATCCTGAAGGTGGCTGCTTAATGGAGGTTTAACTGTACCCAATTTAATACTTGAAATAAGAAATCTACCGTAAATGTAAATCCAGTTCGTTATCTTGTATTACGATAAATTACATGGATTCTTTATACTAGTGACAATTTCCTGTTTCCTTTTTTTTTTTAGCCTTTGAATAGGCTGTCCATTTGGGGGAAGCTTGGGGGAAGGAGGCTAAAAATGGTGAGGAGGTGGTGAAAGAAGAAATGGAAGTGGGGAGGTTGGGGAAGGTGGGAGAGGCTGCCCTGCCCTTTTCCCCTCCCCAGCTTTATTTGCAGCTCCTCGCTTGACTCGCTTTGCTTGCAGATGTTTTCCCCCTTTTTCCATTTAGGAGCCAAGACTCACGCTGTACTTTTTCCTCGTTTCTAACAAGGAAAATAAAAATATTTATAATCCCACCAATTCAAAAAATATTTATTACTACTTGGTATTTTATACCACTCAAATAGCATCTAAAACAAGTACGAACAGATGGTAATATTAGAGAAGTTAATCTGCCTAAACCAGTTCAAGAAATGTCTTAAGACTATAGCACAGCTCATCATTTGGAAGGCCACATACCTTTTACTCGCGTATGCGCAAAGAATTTTCACTTTACTGGCACCTTGAATTTTTCTAAACAATACATCCACGAGTTGGCCATAGTTAACTTTGATTCTTATTAGATGTTATGCATAATAGTTTGTAATTTTCAAATTTGTAAGGAGGAAAGGAATTCTTTACTTTTAAATTGTAATTTGTGATTTTAAACAAGTGGGGGTATACATTTCAACTAGTTTTGTAAGCACTGAGCAAAGAAAACTTGAATCTTATGGTTAGGTAAAATCGATTCTAATATAATGCTTTTGTTTTGTTAGGTTTCGTCTTGTAGGAATGCTGATAATTGTTGGTGTGCTTATGGGTGCCAGTTTTATTACAACAGCCATTATATACGCTCACTATGACCTTGCAGCCGTGTTGTTAGGTGCGAAAGCACAAGCTAACAGGTAAGAATTGTCAAGAGGGTTAATCATCCTTGTCACCCCAGAAATGTTCATTTTCTTAGGCTGCCCATTTAGGCACCGAATATTTTATCCTGTTGCATTTAACTGAATGTCATTTTGACTGGTAGCTGCGTATATCATTTGTTTCAACGTCTTGTCTACTGTTTTTCTAAACAGCAATTTGGAAGGCGGATAAAGCTTTGTATGGGTGTATAAGCAAGCAAGCAAGCAAGCTCCCCTGGGGAGAACACTCCCGTACCCCTGGAGAGATTGCTCGCAGGTTTACGTTTGGGGTGCCATATTGCATTTTTAAGACATCACACAGGCATCCATACATAAACTATTCTAAAAAATTAGGTCAATAAATGGTTCATCTGAAATGATATTGTAATGCATCTTTACTGTTACGAGATAAGTGAAAGGTTTAAAGGGACAGGTTCACGGTTAAGCGGATGCTCATTAATTAAATTGCTTTTTTCTAATTTATTATTAATTCTATCCGCGGTTAATAATCCTACTCACATGTATCACAGCGATCTCAGAGTGTATTTCAAAGAAGAAGTGTATTTCAGAGTAACCTGAAGTAGGATGGAGGAGTACTAAAATCGCAGAAAAAATTAGTGGATTATGCCAACACTACCAACGTTGAATTTATTGTTGACCCGAAGGTTTTATTCCATGGTTGATTAATTTAACGCTATTCGCAAGCATGTAAGTTGGTCAAGTGCAAGTGACTGTGCAGATTGGTTCTTTGACAACATTATGACATGATCATATTGCTTGCATAGACAATCCAGCATGTCCCGGCAGAAAAACAGCATTTTGATAAATGAGCATACGCTGAACCGTGAACCTGTCCCTAAACAAAATAAAGGAAAGCATAAAGGTGAAGTATAGACATTGCCTATCCCTCCCCGAATCTGACAGGGGTTCAAGTCTTTTGAACATGTTCTTAACATCCGTTGGAGCTGTGAACGCGTTGCGACAAAAGTTTCTCTTAGGTGCGTTCTCACTTCCTATCCACGTAGCCTTTTCCCAGATACTAAATACTTACTGATATGGTTCCTTGCTAGACCGTCTGTTCAGAACCCCCTATTTTTCCCCTCTGGGAGGGGTTCGGTTTCCCTCCTTCTACCGCTATAATTTCCGACACTCGCCCCCATGGTACTTTTGAAACCAAGGTGGTCACTCGTTTCACTAAGCGCTTGATATCAGCGATCTGTGAACAGTCCACCTTGCTACCCTGACCATCTCTGGGATAAAATAAATCCAATATCGTGTCAAAAAAGACTTTGCGAATACCAGGTCATATGCGAATAATTTTGTTGTTGCAGGGCCAAAGGTGTAGATTCAATGTCTTTGACTTATGTGAAACCTTACTGTCGCATTGCACCGTACCTTGTTGGTATGCTGTTAGGGTACATAATTTTACACTTTAAGGACTGGAAGATGTCCAAGGTAACAAGTTAATACATACGTACATACATGACTTATTTGTTAACGCAGGTCAGATTACATTAGCCTATGAAAACAGCCGACATTTTCCGACGCCACCTCTGGTTTCCCCGCGTAATGACGTGTGAGAAACGAACACAGAAATTCCATTCTGATGACATGTCGCTACCCAGATTGGATAGTGCTTCTGATTGGTTGGAAATTTGCTTCGTCCAGTCATAAGCAATACCCAAATCTGGGGGTGACGCATCATCAGTATCGAATTTATGCAGTCGTTTCTCAGACGTCATTTCCCAGGGAAACTGGTGGTGGCGTCGCTGTTTTCTCAGGCTAAGGTTAGACAAAGTTAGTAGAGGACACCGGTTATGAAAGCTGGTAAAATCAGAGATGAAAACAACGGTGGAAGTTCCTTGACCGTGCGCAATTAATGCGGTGTTTTTTTTGTCAGTAAGTTCAAAATGATAGGAATGCTAATGAACGTTGTGTACGGCCTGGTCCAAAAAAGCGAACAAAAACATATAACAAAGAAGTCTGTCAGGCTTCATAAGCAAGGCAAATGTGCTGATGTGGTGTACTTGCAGTACAGTAAACACCAGCTTATGAGAACGAGCGGATTAAGAATATCAGTCTGAACTTTGGCTAATAAAGCAGTGCCATATTTATAAGAACCAATTCAGCTATGTTCTTATATAAAAAATAAAGAGAATGCCACGATAAGAAACCAATACAGTGTCTCAGATTAAAGTACTATGGTTTGCTGGCTCATACGAATCATTATACGTTTCTGGGAAACTGCCCACCTACCCCTCCCAAATAATCCAACATTTTTCCCTACATGAGAAGTATGTGTTATTGTTGACTTAGAGGAGGGGTAGGTGGGCAGTTTCCCAGGAACGTTTAATCCCATACAGACTCAGGAACTGCTAGTTTTGAGAAGCAAGAAATGTTATGAAATGTTAAAACTACTTAATTATGATTACTCATATTATTAATAGTATTTTTTAATTTGAAATTTATTTTTTAGTTTAAGTAATAAAACAATGTAAACACAACCTGAACCAGGTTCCTAAAACTAGTAAGCTGACTTTCTTCCTTTTCCAAGGTGCGTACATATATGTTCAATGTTGCTGGGTGGTGTGTTGCAATCGCTCTGGCTTTATCTACACTGTACGGTGAATACAGTGCTGTGAGAAAGGACAATCCAAAGCCCTTCAATCGCGCCGAAAATATCATATACGGGACCTTCTCACGCTGCGCATGGGGCTTGGCACTAGCTTGGGTGATCTTTGCATGTCATCGCGGGCTCGGAGGTAGGTGTCAATTTGTTAGTCAGACTTGAGTTGGTAGCAGTCGAAAATTTTCTTAACATTGTAAGTGTTACGGAAACACCTAAAGGTTGTCTAGAGTTTCGTTCGCTAGTGGACGTAGAATCTTCTGAGGCACCTTTCAGGACAATATCGACAGCTCATATAAGTACCTTGCCTTACCTTATTTACTGCAGTAACTCGCGTTTAACCCTAATCCAATGTAGGTGCCACCTATTTGACTGCACTAGAAGAGTGTGAAACAGAAGTTGGAATTATTTGGTGGACTTTGAGGAGTAAATTGTAACATATCGGCTGACTTTAAAGCATGTTTGAGCTCATTTCATGTAATTCTGACTGTGGTTTTCTATTTTGTAGGTTTGGTGGACAAAATTCTGTCAGCTCATTTCTGGATTCCATTAAGCCGACTGACTTACTGTGCCTACCTGGTTCATCCTATCGTCCTGACCACATATCTCGGTTCTCTGGAGACTAATCACGATTACTCTGATGTCCTCATTGTAAGTAACAATTCTGATGTCTTGAGTAAAACCTTCTACTCGAACTAAACATTAAACCTTGACTTGGATCCCTATTCGACAAAAACTCCCAAAGTTCTTTAGTAAAATTCTGAAAAATATACAGCTCTTTGTGAAAGAACTGCAAAAGAGGTTTCATTTAAATGGTCATACCCACAGACTCAAAGTTAGAACCACATACTAAAAATATAGTACCATGTCAAAATACAACAACAACAACAACGATAATTAACAATTACTGGACGAGGTTAAGCAAAATATCGAGATTTGTCAGTGGCGAGCAGATCAATTATTTACCGAAGACGAAGGCTGAGGCAAATAATCGATCCGCGAGACACTGACAAATCACGATATTTTGCGATAACCGAGTTCAATAATTGTTTTATCATTCGATCACCACGTTTGTTTTGTAATGAATATCTTCGTGAATCGGGAAGCGAAGCAATCTGCCATTAATTTTTTCACGCAGGAGCGATCGCAAGAAGGAGAAAAACGTGGTTTCGTTTACGTATGACCGGAGTATTATCTGCAGCCAAACACAGCTGGACGACATTGCGCATGAGTAGACCATTATTTGTAGGCAGTTATTTGCAGGTCACTTGGTGGACTTTCGGCCAATGAAAAGAAGAAAAAATTTGCATCGAATGATAATAATCTTTATTTTTCTTTAACTCAAGTTTCGGGAGGGGAACCCCGGGAATGAGGCTGTATACAACAGTGATTTTGGAGGCTTTATTTATGTTCTATTTACTGAGGAATTATTTGTGTTTCTCCTTTTTCTTCCACAGTCGTTCTTCTTTACTGGTTCGGTAGTCCTTTCATATGCTGCAGCCTTCATTGTATCAGTGTGTGTCGAGTTTCCCATGATGCAACTGGAGAAACTGATTTTTAAAACCCAACGCTGAGCTCTGATGTCTTAGGTCTCTTTTTTGCTTCAGGCCCCGGTTGTTTAGGCATGGAAAACTTAAAGTTAAGTCTCGTACTCGAACTCCTTCTCGTCCTCAGATCTGAAGCTCTCTCGGTTGAAAGCCACTTTTGACTCATTCCCTGGAATAACATGAAATCTAGGTTGTATAACTAGCACGTGTTTTTAAGGGTTGCCACAGAGATGTGTTTATAGATGAAAGCTTCAGCTAGCGTGCGAGTACGCTCTCCCTCTGGGGCTGCCTGTTGACCCAAACGACTCTCTCTCGATGAAAATTTGCGCGCAAAGGAAGACGAGAAGGAGAAAACTGGCGAGACTTCAAGTCTTTCTCCTTCCCATGGTCCCTTGCGCTTCGTCACCATTCTCTCGCGTTTCGTGACGTCACGTTGCCATGGAGAACGGCAAAAAAGCGATAAGTTTATATTAGCAAAACAACAACTTTGTACGTGCATCACGCTTTTTTGTGCATTTCTTAGCCGTCGTTACACACGACTGCGACTTGGAACTTCCTAATTTCACGCGCTCGTTCTATGGAGTTGGTGAACACAGCACAAAAATTTTCTTTTTCTTTTTTTAAACTCAGATACGGTCCTTTCGGATTCAACCCCAGAGAATTTTGCCAACATTTAACAAATCAAATGAAACTGAACTGTGAACCGTGTGAAATGCCTCTTTAAGTGACGTTTCAACCAAAAATGTTGCTACAGTGGCAACGTGACGTAACGACTTCTCCTCCCCATGGGCATTACAGTTTCCATTGACAACTACTAGTTAGCTTTATTGTGGTCATTGCTTTCTCACCTAAACAGATGGATTTTTATCGGGCTAGGTTTACACTAGAAGAGACTTTTCCAGATTCATAAATGTTTCCGGGTTTATTACATTTAGGGTATTCGGACTCGCAGGCGCTTACACGCATCAGTTAATCGGGGAATATTCATTGGATACAAAGTATTCTGAAAAGATGAATATTATATGAACTTCATATATTTGAACTGCAGGATGAAGAAATGAACGCAGACAAGATCATCACAAGTTGCGAAAAGAATGCTTGAAAAACTTCAAGCTTGCCGGGATTTGAACCTTGACCTCTGTGGTACTGGTGTAGTGCTCTTTGGGAGCTGGTGATTAAATTGGTTTAGAATAGAAGTAACAAAGTATCAGAGATGCCAACCTCCTGGAGACTCTCTCTTTTTCACTACCCTCCCCCCTCCCCGGAAATTCAATGAACCCCGCCCCTCCTCCCCACCCCCGACAAATGTGGAAATGACTAAGGACATTATATAAAGTCTTACATGAGGAACATACTATGAAAATTCGCGATCATTTCGCAACCATCGTTTTGATGCCAGACAGAATCTTTGTCAGTGACTAAATAGGTGCAAAAATGCCCCAGAAACCGTTGTACGAATAAGAAAAATTCAAGTTTTGAGCTAAAAATGTGCTAAATCTCACTAAGGCACCGAAAAGCTCAAAATTAGAGATGATTTTATCCGGGAGATATGGTGACCCGTATGGGAGACCGGGAGATTGGTGTCGTATCCGGGAGAGTTGGCATGTATGCAGTATTCTCCTTAGATTTGGGATTTAAAATCCAGTCCTGATTTAAGATTCACGTATCAGCGCGAAAACGACAAAATGATCCGGACAAATCTCTTCCAGTTGAAACCTTGCCATGGTTTTTACATTTTAAGAAATTATATGATTTTTTTTTACAATAGAGTATTAAGTTCTCTTGGTTTTTCTATAGAAAGCTATAGAACCTTTTTATGAGATCATTTTGACCTGCTTATATTTCCTCAAAGTGATAAAATTACATGTAGTGTCAAGAAATTAATTTTAGTTCAGATAGCTAGGCGTTTCTTAAAGTTGCACGTATGGAATACGTTTGATTTTATTAAAACATAGTCAATTAAGGAAGTATAAAGATCATACTCAGTGTTCATTGAGGTTTATGAAGTTCTACAACGTAGTATGTTATCTCTCATTTCGTAGTTTAATCATCGCCTTCTTCATAAATAATGTACCTAAAGTATTTAGAAAGGGTATCTAGGGCAAAAAAGGAACTGTATCTGGGCTAAGAACAGGGGCAGATCTAGGGAAGAGGCCTGGGTTCCCCTAATTTTAGGCCAGACTGGGGCCCTCAGGGCCAAGACATGGACTAGCTAGGACCTGCGCTTGTATTCCTTAGTTTTCTATTTGAACAGGCAGGGCAGAAAAACCGCTGATTGGTTGCCGTTTTCGCGGCAGTTTGTGGTCTCCGCTGACCATCTTACAACGAATCAAGTAGTCTACAAAAAAGAGCAAAGTTTGAAGCCAAATACATAGTTAACCATGACTAGTTCGGTGATTATGATCTGATATCCCCAAACTAGAACTCATTGACAGGCGATGTCAAGAGTTGTAGCGAAATCAGATTAGGAATACACTTTAGGGTGCTTGCTGAAAATGCGCGGGACAGTGTGTAGTTCATAGAGACATTATACGACCAATAGCTCTTAAACAATTTGCAAAAATAAGAAACAGGTGGAGTATTTAAGGTTCAAAATTCGACCAACCAAAAGGCTAAAAGCCAAGAAGCAAAATAAGAAATACGTAAAAAAATCGAACAGTACGTTTTTCTGTGGCTTGCTGTTTTTTGTTTTTGCATCCCCCTCGCGGTGAAAACACTCGAACGTAATCGCCCAGGCGGTGTGCGTCACGAGATTCGACCAATCAGAATGCGTCATTTGTAGAGTGATTTTCGCGCTCGGAAAGAGCTGTTTGCAGAGGTATACGTGGTGAAATTTTCGCTTTATTCCAAGCTTGTGTTGGTAATTTCGACACTATACCGCCGTGGAAAGTTGTTGGAACACTTTATCTTGATAGCAGTTGCGTTACTTTTAAATATTTTGCTTTCTTGAGCGTTTGTGACGAGTTTGAATTGCTCGGTCATGTGCGGACCGCCATGAGGATTTGAATGTTGTTTTTGCCGTTCTTCTTGGATTTATTGCTGGTTACTGTTAGCGGTTTTATCGAATTATTTTGGCCATCTTGTTACTTCAACCCTTCTTCTTTGCAATTTTCGGGGTCTACCCGGGTCTACCCCTGTTAGTTTTCCAGTTATGAGCCGTTGAAAGTGTCTTGGAATTAAGACATCGTCTCAGCCAAGTGGCACAACTCCCGGGAAACGGGCTGAGAAAACATGCCGAAGCGGAAGCCGACGTGAAGCGAGTAACGCCAAATCCAGGAAGACTTTGTTCTATTTTAAACCACAAAAGGTAAATAAGTTTGAATATTGTAATAACCTTTGGAAACAAGACATTTTTCATAACCCAGTGCGGAAACTGAAAGCGTGACTTTAAAATAATTTGCATGCGGTGTGTGCTATCTTTGTGTAAACTTTAATACGTGAGGGAATAAATTGTTATAAATCTCTACCAAAACACAACACCATTATCGAAGATCCAGACAACATACAGGATTTTAAAACTGTGAGGGTAGGTTTTACTTTATAACAAAATCGATATACTGCGCTCACTTCAATGACCGCACAGACAAGATCGTGGTTTATTTCACTGTTTATTTCTGCGGCTGTAGCTTCGGTGAAATTCCGATTGTGCTGCAGCTGTTCGGCTCTTTCGGTCCGTTTTCCCCTTGCCTGATTGAAGATTTATTTGCTCATAAGGATTTCAAGCGGGCACTGTTTCCAAAATAATATAAACTTGTCGATGAAAATAAAATTGTTATGAGAGACGATTTCTCACCTTGCTGTTTGCACGCGCTCCCCCTGCTTTGCGTGTAAGAAAGTCCATCAAATATATAAACACTTCTAATGAATGAATTTTTTTTTAGTTAAGCAAATCCAGGTATGAACTACATATCTCTTTAACTGTGAGATAAAAACATACATATAAACCAAACAGTACATAAAATCTTATGAGAAGCAGGAAATTAGTCGCCGCTCAAAGTCGGCTAGATCGCACGATCGTCTCCGAATCGCGATAAACTTCTTGAAATTGTCTTGTGAAGCCAATAGCAAGCATGTAAGGCCACTATGACATCTTGAAATTTCTCGAAATCGCTCTCTTGCGTAATGTTTTTCGGAAAAGGCAGCAGTGTTTTG